ACGCTCAGCGACTTGATATTTTCTCTCCTAGATTAGGAGAGGACACTTATCCTTCTCATGATTTAGGCGTTGACAATGATAGCATCTCTTATGCAATCTCTCAAAATTATACCGAATTGTCACTGCGTCACCACCTGGTAAATTAATCACTTTTGTTTTCCTTATAGGTCTCGAAACGTCAAAGAAAACTCTTACTCTGACGTAGTCATGGCTTTGAGGTTTACTTGGGTCGAACGCTACCACATCCACTTTACCAACTAAATCCCTAAAAGCCTCAGTCGCTTCTTTTGTGCAGTGGTTCACCGGAATATTTTGGATCTGCACCCATACCAATAGATACTTCAAATAATCTCCAGGTGGCTTCTCCATCCACCAGTCAATAACTATACTCCACTTAAGTCCATACTCGCTTCCGCATCACTTCCTCTAAGTCAGGTTCATATTTAAATATGAACTGAAATATGGTAGGCGATATTGCCACTTCACGAACCCTATCATACACTTGCCACTTCTGTGGCACATCCAGAATCAGATCTTTAAGCCTTTGCTTCTTTGGATTTAAATTTCTGCCAATGATACTCATCTTTTACTTTCCACCACGCTGAATTGAGGCAAATCCGGTAGATAGAAAGGAACATCATCTTCCTCCAACGACATGGTTTCGAAAACTTTGTTAAGCTTCATGATTTCTCCAGAAAGACACCCCCAAAAACTGTCACTGTTCTTTATTTTGACCAGAATACCTAAGGCGGCAGTTATAAACCCTAGGATAGTCAAGGCAAAAGCACACAAAAACCCAAAATGATCACCCACAGTAAAGAGATTTTCTGTTTTTGTAGCGACAAAAAGAGGAAAAAAATCTCAGAAACAACCCTACTTTCCTTAAAACGAGAATATACTCTATAAAAAGAAAGAGAGAGAAAAATCACCCAAAAAAGTTAACTCTTTATTTATATATACATGAAAATAATGGGTTGTTTTTCATTTAAAGAAGAGAGAGAAGAACATAGGAAAGACAATGACAAGATGACAATACCATTGAACCTAGTAATTTCACCAAATTATTTCTAACCATCAATTTAAAAGTATTAACTTTTCATCTCTTAGTAACAAAAAAGTAAAAATCTGAGGAGACGTCGATTGGACAATATAGGCATGACAATTTTGGGTACCGGTTCGGTTCAGGTATTATGGGTATCCCGGGTAGTTCAAGTGTGGGGCTAAAGGATCCATTTACTAATTATTTCGGTACGGGTTCGGTTTGGATAGTTTTAGGTTCGGTTTGGATACTAAACTAGGAACGAGAAATTACTCGAAAAATTTTGGTTCTCATTTGGTTCATGTCCTAGTTCAATTATCTCAGGTAGTTTAAGTAATTCAGATAAAATATGGGTGTTTCGAGTATAATAGCTAATAATTAGGATTATTTGGATACTTTCGATTTTTTTGGATATTATATAATAATTTTTTTTTCAAATATTTCTAAATACTTTTAATAGATTTTTAAATAATACATATATATTTAGTTATCTTATATGTATATATATATATATCGTTCAATTCTTTGTTCAGTTTTGGTTCGGTTTGATTATTTTGTATATAGAAATATAAGAACCATTTGGATATTTTAAGATTTCAGTCTGATTCCAATTTTAGGTTCTTAGGTTTTTCGATTTGTTTTCGGTTTGTTTCTTCAGTTCTGGTTTTCTTATCCAGGCCTAGGACAATGAATCGAAAGAGTAATAAAAAAATTATCCAAGAATATAGGAATAACCTCCAAGCCTAAGAAACCATAAAGCCAAACGACTTTCCTTAGAATACTCCGACTGACACATTTTCAATTAATAATAACATTTAACTACATAAATGACTTTCCTTAAAATATTGATATATTATTGTATAGATACACAATTTAAAAACCTCACTGTTAATATGCTCTTATAACTTTTTTTTTTCAATTTTCAAAATGATGTTCTTCTAAGAAAGCGTAGAAAATAGTGAACCACCCCAAACAAAACCTTCTCCCCTGCAGAAACCTCTCTCTCTCTCTTTGTATCTTTATGGTTTCGTTTTCATCGTCTTTGTCGGTTTTGTCATCTACTTAACCGCAAGCAAGTATACTTTCTTCCTCAAAATAGTTCAATGTATGATGAACAGGCTCATATTATATCTTCTCACATGCATAGTCACTGTTTAACCCTTCGATTTAAGTATGTTCTCAATTAGTAGTATGATATAAAAATATTTTTATTTTTGTGTTTTAATTTTATATTAATATTTTATACATAAATATAGGAATATATTATTTTTATAAAATGGAAATCACACAAGATGAAACCCATTCAAATGTTTCGTGTATATATGTTCACAGGATCGGCCCACTTGAAATTTAATGGTGTCATTTGACACCACCAAAATATGATAAAAATATATTTTATATAAGAAAACATTAAAAAAATTTATAGCAGAGTTGGTAAAATCTCAGGTGTAACACCCCAAAAACCAAGATTTAATTCACACAACTGATCCTGATTTTTGGAGTCAGTTGAGTGAATTGAATCTTGGTTTTTGGGGTTTCACACCCTAGATTTTACCAACTCTGTTACAGATTGAATTCACAAGTGGTCAGTTGTGACTCCATGAATTGAATCTTGGTTTTTAAATTGAATATTCAGTTATAGTCAAGTGACCACTTGTGCATTGAATCTTGGTTCACAGATAGTGTCAACTGACCACTCCTAATTCTCGGAGACAGTTGTGTGAATTGACTCTTGATTCAATTCAAAAACCAAGATTCAATTCATGGAGTCATAGCTATAGTTTGTAATCATTTAAAATATCCTAAAATAATATGAACAATTTATATTATTAAAACAGAATTTCTAATAGGATTCTGCTCTTAATTTTCAATGATAATTACATTACCATGTCATTAGCCATTTCTAAAAATTTAATTTACTTAAGAAAACAATCTAACTATATTTCCTACTTAATTGCAAAATATCCTCCCATGATTCATCAGTATTAATCAGCATAATATTTTGTGATATACTCACGAACTAGAAACAATTTTGTCAAAATATTAATGTATCATGCACAAAAAACTTTAGTTTAATATATTTAGGTTCATTTAACTTAACGTAATATTATATTATTATAGTATTCTAAAATTAAAAAATACATGATTTAAACTATGCGTATTTGTAGTTTATACACATCATCCTTATATAATTGGTTATACGTGATATATCATTCATATGACTATTATATTTAGTATGTTTATGTTTTTCAGAACTACATAAAAGATTTTAATATAAATATGAAATATGTTCAAAATTCTCAATTGCCAAATAACAAACCTATTTTAATTTTTAACATTCATATTATTCTGAATATTTGATAAGCTGAAATTACGGAAGCGCAACAAAAATTTAACAGTTTTGAGAATATATTTTTGTATTATTAATATTCACTATATAGTTACAATCTAGAAACCACATTTATAAATATTAGTAGGTAAAAATTTACACATTCAAAATGAAAATGACTTAAATATTTCAAATTTTAAATATTAATATTTGGAAACAAAAACTTTAAATTCAATTTATTATAAAATTTAGATTTGGCTAAAACTTTTACATAATAATATCAATCTTATATTTAAATTTTGATTATTTTACATCAGTAAAATATTCTAAATTTCAGAATTTTATACGATTGAAAGCTATAAAAATATTCGGCTTTAATTCTAAAAATCAGCACCAAACCTACTTTTATAAATATCAGGTTGTGGTTCATATTTTTATGTCTAACTTTTACGGATTATTTTATCAAATATAAAAAAGTTTATTAAGTATGAGATAGGTTGAGTAAACATATAAATTCATAAAGTATCATAAGAATATTAAAGAAATTTTAACTGATATAATATATATGATTTACTTTTTTTTTTAGTTTTAAAACCGTAAAAACATAAATTAAAACTTGTGCAGTAAGTTTAAATGAAAAGATAATTTATTGTTTTATTCTCATATAGTTGTATTGATGTAATTTTTAATAAAATAATAAAACTAAACTAAACTTTATATATGAATGTTTGTTATTCTGTAAAATAAAAATGATTATAAATTAAAGTACTTCATTAAAATAAGATATTATAAGTACATCTTATACTAGATGTTAGTTACTAACATAAAAATTAATTAGAAGCACAAATTAAATATAAATTATGCACAAAACCTAAAAAGATATAAATATAAAATTACAATTTTTGCTTAATATTTTTTTGTGCATTCAAAAAATAATAAGCGCGGGTCAAAATCTAGTATTTATTAAAATATATTTTTAGTACTCCCTCCATTTCAAAATATATGTCATTCTAGACTTATTTTTTTTGTCACAAATTAAGGGTCGTTTTAAAGTTTGAGGCAAAATTTATTAGTTTTATATAATATTCTGGTTTTCTATTGGTTGAAAAGTGGTTAGTTGTAATTGTGTTTTTATCTTGGAAATATGTAAAATTAAATATTTTCTTAATCTGTGTGTAAAACCTAGAATGACAAATAAAGTGAAACGGAGCGAGTATAATGTATTAATTTAAAATCCACTTCTTACATTTTTCATCTTAGACACTTTATAAGTTATTATTTTCTTCTTTGTTTTGCAGAAAAGAAGAATGGTAATTCACAAGACAAGAGCCAACTTCGTACCAATGGAACAGACGATAGAAGAAACGGTGAAGCTTGCTTATCTCTTGGCGTATATACTAAACTTTGTATTAGGTATAACTACTTAAAATATAGGCATTAACAATTACTGGAAAGATTTTTATATTGCAAAATCCGCGTAAGGCGGATAAAAGAAGAAATTAGTTGAGATGTTAACGATGTAGACAAAAAAGTAGATGGTGAGTCGCATCCAAAATCAAAGGAAATCACTCCTCGCTCATATTCTTCATCCAATATCTCTATAAAGGCGTTATGAAGTCGATATAGGGTAGTAGTCAGTCTCATTGAAATTCCGTTAATTTCATCTAAGCAACGTGATAAATAATGGTAAAGGAGGAAGTTGAGTTAGACGTCGAGATCAAATCTCCGGCTAATAAGTTCCACATGTTTGTCGGGAGATTACAACATGTGCCCAAAGCCACTCGCTACATTCAGGAATGTGATTTGCTCGAAGGGGACTGGGGCATGGTTGGAAGCATAGTCTTGTGGAAACTACTTTTTGGTAATGGCATCAGTATATCCGTTTTAAATTTTATCTATCAATTTGTTTTCGTTCTATAACTTCTATTCTTCTTTGATTTGAATCGAAAGATCTTTTTTTTGTTGAAACTGGTGGTGAGATCATACGAGGACTTGAATATAGCTGGAACATTAGATTTTAGAAGATTTTATGTTTTGCTTGTTTCCTTGATTTCAATCCCAAGAAAACATGTTTTGGTTTAGATGGAGAGGTAAGAGTGTCAAAAGATAGGATCGAGGCAATGGATTTTGAGAAAAAAGTGATTCAGTGGAATGTGTTAGAAGGATCTCTCAAGACAGAGTACAAGAGCCTCTTGAAAACGATGAATGTGAGCACTAACCATGGAGGATCAGGAAGTACGGTGAAGTGGAACGTGAAGTACGAGAGAATTGATGAGAACGTTGCTCACCCTGAAAGACTGCTCCAGTTCTTGGTCGAAGTGACTAAACAGGTCGACGGATACCTCTTATCTGAGGAATAAAGGCTGGGTTGACAATATATAAATATCTAATGCTTGACATACATGATTGTGTGGGAGAGTTATTGTTACGTAATAGAGGACTCCTCTTGTGTGTTTGTGTGCCTAATATCTTTCTCAATAATGTGACATTTAACGGATTTAAAAGAGATACTAGATTTTGATTCGCGCAATCGCGCGAATGTTTTTTCAAATTGAATTGAAGAAATTGTAAACTACTTCCTCTGGATTTAAAAATATGATGTTTAAGATTTTGCACAGTAAGTAATTAACTCTTTTAGTTATTGCTTTTTGGTTTTATCAATAAAGTTCAACCACTCATAATTTTATCTTTTAATCTATGTTTAATTTTAAAGACAAATGCATTAATTACATCCTAAAACATCAATCTTTTGTATACAAGATAAAAATCTCGAACATCTTACATTTAAATACAGAGGGAGTATGTCGGTTACATATTTAGGTTTTGCGTGAAACAATCAAATTAATATCTAAGATAAGTAACTTATAATTTGATAATTCTATACAAAGCATAAAAAATTTCTAGTGTTTTTGTTTGTAAAATATATTCACTTTTTCTAATATATGACATTTTAGATAATTATTTTCATTTCAAATTAGATGTCATTTTCAGTTTTTAATGCAATTTTATTTAGTTTTTATTTGTTGAATTATGATTAGGTGAATATTTAATGATGTTTTGGTTAGATAAAATAGAAAATTAATTTTTTTTCTTTAATTTGTCTAAATAAATCAAATTTCAAAGTAAGAAAAATGAAAATAATGTAATTTAGTTGATTATATAAATTAGTACGTCTATATTTGTAAATACATTTGTTTCACAGAAAAATATATTATGTTTTTTCTATTATTTCGATTACAATTTATTTATTTCAAATGATTTTTCAATGTAAACTTAGCGTTTTAACAGCATTCTAGAAAATGGTATTAAATATATATTATTAAATATATTTAATTTAATTACATGATTAAAAACAAATTCTATTATATGTTCTAAAATGGTTAATTTGATAAAAAAAAATGTTAATAATAGTAAAGAACAATCACATATTGTGATACCTTTTTGATATCATCAAAATAATAACATTAATCATATGTTATTGTTACATAAGATAATACTCAAAATAAGATATACAATCAAATATTATGCTTGCATAACATATGATTTTTTTGGTTAATGACGTACCCCGGGGAGGACCGAAGAGAGAAGTGGGTGTGACACTTGCCCGAAACTCTTTTTAAAAAATAACTTTATTACTAGTAAAACAACACGTGTTTTAATAAATAAAGTCGACTTCTTTATCTCCATGGGGGCATTTTTTGACACGTGTACACTCTTTTTGGGCCATTTCATTTGTTGGGCTTTTGTATATTTTTCGATTTCGGTGGCCCATTTGTTTTTAGGGTTCTCCTTAGAGTCGTCTTCTCCATTTTGTTTTTCCTCCACCGAACTTCTTTCGTTTATTCTTAGAGACGAGCAAGATCTTCTGGAAACGTTAGAACCTTTGGCTTATCCTCCTTTACTCCCAGTTTAGACGTGATTAATCCACTCTCAAGCATTCAACCAGCTCAATTTCATCCCCAAGGTAACCGACTTCATCTTACAGTATAAATTTCCCCTCATCTACACGTGGACCTCACACCTTCGATGAGATCTAAAAGATTAGTATGTTCACCTTGCCTGTTACTGCGATGGCAAGTGCATACACCCTTCTTTCTGATTGAAAGCTGAGAGATGCTCCAACACTGCGGAGATTCTGGGAGGCAAGAAATGTGAGGAAATGCGGTGAGTTGATGAGTGTTGACATGCACTTCATTGATGAGAATGTAAGTATCTCTTTTGCAGATCTTCTCCTATGTTATAACTGATACTTTATCTACTTTAGATGCTTTTGTGACGATTATTGAAAAAAACGGTGTGAGATACGTGTTTCGGTATTGGCGGGAAAGTTTTTTGGTTTTGGCAGGAAAAACGAGTTTTTCAATTTTTGCGGGAAAACATCTTTTTCCATTTTGGCGGGAAAACGTATTTTTCAGTTATGGCGGAAAATACGTTTTTACGGTTTTGATGAAAATAATAGTTTTTTTTTTATTTTGGCGGAAAAACGCATTTTTCGGCTTTGACTGGAAAATATGTTGTTTGGTTTTTGTGGAAAAATGCAGTTTACTCATTTTTTTCATGAGTTACAAAATGATATTAGGTTTAAGTTTGTAGTTTGTGAATTATATTAGGGGTATAATAGACATTATATCATTTTGGCAAAACCATCTCTATCCAAATGATCTAAATTGGTCCATTCGGATGGATTTTAAAATCAAGTCTATAATTTCAAAAGGCATATAGATGATTTATGCTTTTAATGTCTAAACGAACAAAATTTTCATTTTCATCCAGATGGTTCATCTAAATGGAGAAAATCACCATCCAGATGGTTCATCTAAATGGAGAAAAGAACGGCCCCTTATTACACCGTCTCTGTATTGTTAAGACAATTGTCTTATTTTAGTTGATATTTTGGGTGACCATAGACAATCAAAGTAGATTATTTCTTCATACTGCGTTTTGATGTATCTTTAATTTTTTGGTGTTAGGTTTTAATCTATGCTTGCTAAAGGGTTCTTAGAGTGCATGATTTTTAGTTGCTTTTATTAATACTCTTGACGATTTCTCCCAATTCACTTTTGTAAACTTTAAAGTTGTTGCGGATTACTTCGTTATCTTTGATTTAACATGTCTAATCGTCCTTTTCAACAGTCAATTCTTATGCAAGGATCTATTGGGTGGGGCCAGCCGTCAATTGAGGTTCATGGATAAGCGGCTTTGACATGAGACGCAGGAACACTAACTTCTTTATTCTCCTTGCTGACTTACAAGCAGAAAGCTGGTCGTTGCTCCAACACTGCCCAAGTTCGTTTACTGAGGTTTTGGGAGGCCAATAATGTGAAGAAAGGGGGAGAACTGATCAGTCTTGACATGCTCCAGTGTAAGCAACTTTCTTTCAGCTCAATGTACACCTCACGTGTTTTCCTATACAGAGATGTCCCACCCACCATTGATTACTTTAACTGGGTGCAGCCTAAAGATATTTTAATTCTGCATATTTTCAGTGACCTTGACAATTATATGAATTTGTATATTTTCTCAGGTGGGATTCCAACCCAGAAATTGCTAAGATGATGAGTATGCAGGAGGTAACTAAGGCTGAGAAAATGACAATTGTGAAAATCTACGCCTACGTCAAGCAGGAATCCGCCAAGGTGAAATTTTAGCTCTAGATAACTCACTCAAAATGAAAGGTCTGTTTACGTAAATCAATTGCTTCTAAGTTCTAACAGATTGCAAGATGCATTGTTTGACTGCATAGCCACAATTGATGATGTTGAACGTCGCTGTTCATGGTATTATATTGTCTGCAGTGATTTAAACTAAGGCCACAAGAAGCCTTTCTTTATTGATGTACACAAAATATGGCCACGTTAGGTGGTGTTGCAAAGTATGAGCACTAACCTAAATAATTACTTATTTCTTTTTCCTATTTTACTTTTTTTTTCTTAATTACAGGTATATTGAAAAAATCTCTGTCTATGGCAACAACGACCAGGTTGTTTTCGAGTTACTCCTGAGTTGACTGGAAAGTATGCCATGGAATTAGTTGACAGCTACTTTCAGGTTAGTTGGCTTCAGATTATACTTGGACCTAGAGTTATTTATACTCACTTTTTTTTTTAAATGGTTGCGTAAAGAAAACATTGGTGTGGACAATGAGATAGATGCCTGCTGCCCAAGCTATAATCAACACCATTGGTCAAACACATAAGTTCAGGGTCAAAGCAACATGACAGGGAAGACTAGGTCTATAACTGTTACAAATGTGCTTTCTTCATCGGTTCTGCCACCTATAACAGCCCCAGTTGAGAGTGATGTGTGTAAAAATGTTGTGGGGACCTTGCTGATGAGAGCAATGAAAGCACCAGAACATGTATTACAGAAATCTAATCGTGCAGCTGGATAATAGAGCTTCCATTACTCATCCCAGTCAATGCTAGCATGCGTTGAGTGTTACTCTTTTTTTTCTTTTTATAAGTTTGTGCTTCGACTAAGTTTTTCTTTATTTGCTTTTCAACTATCGTTGTTGTTTTAGCTAATATTTGAACATAGTTAACTTATTGGTTAGAGTTATAAATTTTCTTGGAATAATAATTTCGCGGTTCCTAAGCAGTTGGTACTTCGTATCCTAAGCACTCACACAGATTGTTTAGACTTTTACATTGTTAATTTTTTCCCTTTGTGATCCAACTGAAGCCAACGCAAGAAAAACACAATTCTTCTTCCACATGTTCCTGGTTGTTTCTAAAAACCAGCATCGGACAAGTCTTTAAAGCTCTTCTACGTAGAAACAATACTCCAATCAACTGCATAAACGTAAAAATTCTCAAATCAGACCCATAACACTAGCTTACTATAGGATTGATTCTAAGGTTTGTCATCTCAACCGGAATAGATAAACCATATTCTAGACACCCTCTGGATACTTGATATAGATTTTAACTTTTTAACTATAACATGATTGATAAAATTAAGTGGTTCATAAATAGATAAAGCTACACCCTCTGGATACTACATGCAAGACAACTCCTTATTTCACTGATTCACCAACGTTAATGTTGGGTGTAAGCCGGTTAGACCAGCTGCTGGAGCGGGAGCAGGAGCAGGTGGAGCTTCTGGGGCGGCAGGAGGTGGAGGCATCTGATAGGGTATCTCATGGACGGGATAATACTCCTGAGAATCAGGAGCAGGCTCGGATGATGACGGTCATGAAAAGATGTCCCGACAGTGTCACCAAACATCTGACTACAAGTAGGAAGAGGTCCACGTGGTTTCGGTCTAGGAGCCATCTAAATGAAAAAAAATCAATATCATCGTACGAATATCTCAAACTAATAATTTTTTTAAACCCAAATTATATTAAACTACGTTTGTTACACATCCGTTAAGTCTTTTAACTGATATAAAAGAACAACATTTGGTACATATATTATATCTTCTTCTTAAACTAATTACCTAAGCTAACCACCTAAACTAACCACCTAATTAACTACCTAAACCTATAAAAAGAGAGAGAGAGAGAGAGAGAGAGAGAGAGGATAAACTTACATCGAGAGCCTAAACTAACCACCTAATTAACTACCTAAACCTAAAAAGAGAGAGAGAGAGAGAGAGAGAGAGAGAGAGAGAGAGAGAGAGAGAGAGAGAGAGAGAGAGAGAGAGAGGGGAG